AATTGATTAAACTTATTCTAATATCTCCCTGTACACCACAATAAGAGTAAAAACACTTTCAGAGTGCTTGACTAATTTCCTTTGTGATGAAGTATTTACAACTTTAATGTCACACACTCTTCAAACTCGAAAAAAAGCAACATATAACTGACCATATCTGAAAACAGGTTCAGGTAGGAATATTCCTACTCTGTCTAGAGCAGGGGTCCTCAAACTACGGCCCGCGGGCCACATGCAAATACAAATATTGTATTTGTTCCCGTTTTGTTTTTTTACTTCAAAATAAGATATGTGCAGTGTGCATAGGAATTTGTTCAGTTTTTTTTTAAACTATAGTCCGGCCCTCCAATGGTCTGAGGGACAGTGAACTGGCCCCCCGTTTAAAAAGTTTGAGGACCCCTGGTCTAGAGTTTGTCCTTGTGATTTATTAATAGTCATCGCAAATGCTGGCATCACAGGAAACTGTCTTCGAATTAATTTAAATGGGAGGCCAATGTCAGACGGGGATAGTTGTGCCAATAGTTGGTCTTCAGACATATTATGTCGACTACGACACTGCTTTCTTTCAGCTTCAGAATGTCAACAAAAACAACCAAATTCATGCTTGACAATGACAGATCAAAACACACGTGTGCGATTGGCGCCAGTGAGAGCTTTATATATATCGCGCATGCGTAAGTCAAAGTTTATTTTTAGATTGCCAGTGTGCATCATATGTACCGGAGGGACAGACGGTCGGTTACTTAGCCTTTTATATATATAGAAGATGTTAAGGGGAGAGGAAAAAATATAAGTTTAAACATGTCTGTTTAAATGTAAGGATATTTGCTTTTCTTTATTCCCTACTGAGTTAACTAAAGATTTTCTCCCTACAAATTAATTTAGCCAAAGTTAAAACTCAATATAAAATAGGTAAAGAATATAAATAGTTCACAGAAAAAAATATATAAATGAATTTTATAAGAAAGCCACATTTTCATAAGAAACATACAAATAAAACTATATCAACGTATCATGTCCCACCTATTAAATTAGTAAAGACCAAAAACATGATAGTAAACTATATTGGTTAGGGTGGGAGAGAATAAGCACTCATTCATTACTGGTAGGTATAAACTGTACCCTGTCTGAGGCCGGCAATTTTGCAATATCTATCAAAATTACAACGCACTACATTTTGGCCCCACAACTACAATTTTAGGAATCTATGCTAAATATAAATGCTGTACTCATACCTGTGTCTACATGGTAAGTACTCTGAAGAACTGCTTGAGCACAAAAGATAAAAAACAGAACCCTCCACCAGTACAGAGTGGTTAAATTACTACAGTACATAAACTGTGGACTATCATGCAGCCATTAAAAAGTACTGATATGAAAGAATCTCCAAGATAAGGAAAAAAGACCCAGGAAAAGTGGTACAGTGTATCTGAAGTCTTTAAAAGAACCTGAACCCCTCTGAGGACACATGAAGACATTCCAAGGGGCACACAGAAACACAGGTTTAAGGAGGTCAATTTTTAGACCATCTTCCACATGCACTAGTTCCTACTGATCTTCCCTGAGAATTAGCACAGGCTCAAGGCATCAGGCTGATTGATCCTTCTATTCTCATCCCACTGCCCCTCTCTCACCCACCTCTCAACCACCCATATCTTAGAGTGGAGCACAACTCAAGGGAGTAGAAACCTGCAGGGCACCACACAGGGATCACCAGTGACAAAATCAAAGCTTCTTTAACCAAGATATCAGAAACTCACACAAAGCGTTTTGCATCTTATACATATTTCAGTTACAGAGAAGTGTGGTGTTAGAACTGAGGCATTTTGCCCAGTGTTAGAATGTTATAAATTCAAAAATATTTGACTATGACATCAGATATCTACCTACCGATCAATCAATAGGGAGATATATGAACAATTTCACTTAAAGACTTCACTGTTTCCAAACAGTGAATGGTGGTCAAAAATAAATGCATAGCTCCCGAAAAAAAAAGTCCCAAGAAAACAAAAAAACAAAGAGCATCTGTAAGAAAACAACAGAAGGCCTTAGTCCATCACAGTGAGGCTTTGAGCATTATCCAGGAGACTATCTTAGAATTCAGAAGATGGTTGCCTTGGAAATGCATAATACTCATTTAATAAAATTGGCAAAAGGAATCAGACTTTCTGACAAAAAATCAGTGTGATTTAGCTGCCTACTTAGTCAATAAGGACTAGGTTTGCCATTAAGGTTTACTGGTGGTCATTTTCTACAAACGAATAAATAAAATCTACAGTTCCAATAATCTGATGAAAATATAAATACTTTATATATTAGTATTAATTTACATATCATATATTTAAATACATTTTAAGGACATACATAATATAAGATTTGAACATTTTATCAGACATGAATTTAAAATATAAAGGTATACTACTGAACATTACTTCAACTTTTCCAAACCTTTCTAAGTATATTGGTTTAAATAAGGTCCCTATGATGGTTAATTCTGTTGAATTGGCTAGGTAGGCTATTCAAACTCTAATCTAGGTGTTGCTGTGAAAATATTTTGTAGATGCAATTAACATCAGCTGGCTTTAAGTAAACGGTATTATCTTTAGTAATCTGGGTGGGATTCATCCAATCAGTTGAAAGGCCTCACCATCAGATTTCAGACTTGCCTGGCCAACCCCCACAATCTTAGTCTATTACGTGCACTAAATCCCTTTACATCCTATCCTATATAATAAAAGCCTAATATGCAAATTGACCGAACAGCAGAGCGACCAGTGGAGCAACCAGTTGCTATGTCGTGCACTGAACACCAGGGGGCATATGCTCAATGCAGGAGCTGCCCCCAGACCGCAGGCCCCAGGCCAGCCAAGGCAGGTGCCAGCGGGGGCCCCCGATTGCCCTGCCAATAGCCCCACAGAGGGAGGCAACCAGTGGCAACTGCGGGGGCGGGGCCGGTGAGCAGGAGACGCCAGGCCGGTCAAGGCAGGTGCCAGTGGGGGTCCCCCGATCACCCTGCCGGTTGGTCCACAGATCGGCCTTGATCACTGGCCAGGCCTACGGACCCTACCTGTGCATGAATTTCATGCACCAGGCCGCTAGTATTTATATAAACCAGTTGGTGATCCTGTGGATGCATAGGAAAGTATACGTATATATAAGAAAGACATATATCTTTTTCTGGTAGAACCATAGGTAATACAATCCCTATGTGTGAAAGTAAAAAGTATAATTAACAGTCATTTGTTAGGTCTTGCTAAAGCCTTTTTATTGTGCGTCTCAGAAAATGAAACCATGAATGACTCTAATGACTGGTTAACAAACCTCTTCCAAGCTTGATGGTTTCAAATTCTCTGCTCTCAGCAAAACTGAAGGAGGTTCTAATTGAATTGTCAGCTGCTAACTCATTTCAAAAATCACTTTTGATGAAAAACTGCTACATCATTTTTTCACATACAACTCAGAAGAACAAACAATGAGATAATTTGTAAGCTCTGAGATCAGGGATTTCTGCTGCTCTGTTCACTGCTCACCACCAGAACATACAAGAGTGTCCAGAACACACCAGGAGCTCAAAATATACCTGATAAATCAATAAATGAGCAAAACTCCACCATTCTCATCTACTTACTGAAATTAAAAAGTTTGTCAGAACTTACATCTATAAACACAAAGATCAGGAATGGAATCAATGCCAAATCCTGCCTCATTCTAGCAATGAGTTATAGTATTGCAAGGACGCATTATTTTGGATGAGAGTAAGCTCCATCCATCTCGTTAAGAGATGATTTCCAGTAAAAATGTATTTTTATGTTGAGTAATTATCAAACATTTTATAATATTTGTACTATAATTATAATAAGTCCAAAAGAAAGCAAGACTGAGCCTTATGGACACAGGAAATATAAACAGGTTTTACATTTTAATTTATACATTCATTTTTGTTACTGAGAATGACATGATGAAACCCATCAAACATAAAACTACATCAGGCTAAAATTCTGTGGAGAAAAAAAATGGAAAGGAGCTCAAGGAAAAAAAGGGATCACATAAGATTTCAAACTGTTAAAACAGAGCTTGTTCATACATTTTTTTAACCTATGACGGTGGGCAAATGGTTGCAAAATTTCTTTTTTAACAGAATCAACAATTTTTAAATGTCAGTATTTACAACACACTAGAAATATTTCTGCAACTATTTAAATTCTGAAGAAAAATTTTTTATGTCAACCTTAAAATGTATAGCGGAGTACATTCTCTCTCATCATTGATGTTTCTACCTCTCTTCCTCTCCCCCTCTCCCTTTCTCTCTGAAATTAATAAAATATAAAGAAAGAAAGAAAATAGAGAATCATTGATCGGCTGCCCCCTACATGCCCCACCCTGGGGATCAAGCCCACAACCCGAGCATGTGCCCTGACCAGATATCGAATCATGACCTCCTGGTTCACAGGTCAACACTCAACCACTGAACTGTGCTGGCCAGGCAAAAATATATTTTTTTAAAAAAGAAGTGCTCAGAGTTGTTACCTATAGGAATGAGTATCTAAACATCACTTTGTATTTTTTCCTAGCAATTTTTAATACATGCCTAATAAACATAATATTCAGAATTTTTAAAAATGTAAATATTAACCAGCTATTTAGGGGGCAGGGGGAAGTCCTCCAAGAAAATATCAGTGAAGTATAAATTTCCTCCTATTTGTACACTCAAACCACCATCAAAAATGAGAGATGGCAAAACACTGCCCTGATTGTCTGCTGAAGCCTACTTGCAAAGACTTCTATTTCAACATCTTGACTAATTAGAAACATATGATGCAACCTAAAAAAATATACTAAAACCAAGCACCACCCAAAAAAATTACTCCCATCTAAACTAAGAGGAAGACAAATTAGAAAGCAAAAACCTACAGGTAACAAAAAAGGTTTTTTCCTCGCATCATGGATAATGAAAGACTTAAAACATTTTTTTATTAATCCAAGAAAAAAAAACAACTTACTAGCATGCTTATCTGCAAGCATTATAAGCGTGTTGGAAATATCTCGTCGTCTATAGAAGCATACTACTTTTGCTTCCACGTTGCCAGTTGCAGTCTAAGAAATAAGAAAAACAAAAGTCATCTGTACTGAGTATTAGATTCAAGTAGTTTATAAAACAAAACTAGATACAGCACAATTATAAGATCACTCTCATTTACACTGTGCCAACCACTACTGCAGAATAATCAGAGAGCTAAAACACTCAAATAAGGATGAGCAACATTTGTTCCGTTCCAAGTAGAACTAATATGTCAAACATAAAATAACTTTCTGGCATCAATTAAACTAAAGTAATCAGACCGTTTTAACAAATAAAGCCAGACACAGTTAAATCTGATTAGCCTTAGGAAACTAATCCCAAAAACATCAAAAGCCACAATAGGATTTATTTAAGACAGTTAAACATATCTCCTCTAAAACTACTCCCAGAAGCACAGGCTAAGAGTAGAATCACCCAGCCTTCTCCTGCACATCCCCACAATGGACTGATGAGGAAGCTCTGTAGGTACAGGACAGCCATCATGCAGAATGGGCCAGATGACTTAGAAAAGCATTCTCCAGCCTAAGGGAGTCTATGAACCCATAATAGTCAATAATCTTAGTAGTACTTACTTTACCTTCCCACAGGAAAGTATTAAAAACCTTGAGTTATGAACACTGAAGCTCTTATTTCTTTCTGACTACAGTCTAGAATACAATCAATATTCAGTTAAGTTGTAATTTACTGCAGCTGGGGCCCAGGCTCCAACACTCCTATTCTTTATGAATTCTGAGAGCTTTCAAGAAGGTCAATCATTCATTACAAAGTTCCTTGTAAAAACATATAGAGAACAATAAAAAGCTACTGTGATTTCCAATTTCAAACACGTTTAAAAACAAATTTTCAGAATTTCTCTGGGCGTACAGATATATTCAAACATAAAGAAATAAGAATATATATATGCTGCGGTAAATTTGTCAATTTTATGAAGTTCAGCAGCAGTTTTAGAGTGAAAAATAGTCTTAGAGAAATACTGCCCCTTAAAATTGAAATCATATTAAGTCCTAACCGAAGTGTTTCTATATTTCACAATATTGTGATCGAATATATCCTCCAGCAATAATGATCCAGCAATCTGCTAAAAGAGCAAGCCAATATTCCCACGTAAATAAAATCTATCAATGACTTCACTTATAAGCTCTTTATCATTTTTGTCTCCTTGACCTAAAAGTATATTAAAAACCCAAAACAAGAGTTTCAAGGAATAGTTTTTCTGCCTCACCAGTGAGTTCCTTCCATAGGAATACTCTATGAAGCTAATTAAATTCTTATTTAAACATGCTTGGGATGGAGAGGCATAGTTCAAAATAAATATTCTCTTCTGGACTATGTACACACTTGGCTATTAGGTAGTTTAAGACTACAGTATTTCTCTACAATACACACACATACACACCCTCAAGCATCCCTCTAAAGCTGAGCTTCCAAAATGTGGTCCAAGACTCAGTCCACACTGTATGTACTATGTAATAAAATGAGTACAGGATTGAGAGTATGTATATTATAGCATTTGAGAGTTAATTTTATAGCTATTGAATCTAACAATAAAAAATGGGACCTTGTATTTTTTTTAAACATATTTTATTGATTTTTTACAGAGAGGAAGGGAGAGGATTAGAGTTAGAAACATCGATGAAAGAGAAACATCGATCAGCTGCCTCCTGCACACCCCCCACTGGGGATGTGCCCACAACCAAGGTACATGCCCTTGACCGGAACCAAACCTGGGACCCTTCAGTCCGCAGGCTGACGCTCTATCCACCGAGCCAAACCAGTCAGGGCAGGACCTTGTATTTTTATAAGCCTATTTCAAATTTAACTTTTCTGCCTTTTTAATATTACAAAAGCAATCTGAGATAGTGAAAACTCTTTACCACAAATAGCTCGAAAAACACTGCTCTGTGACCTAGGTTAAATAAAGCCTGGAGACATATATATATATATTCTTTGGTTATTCACCAAAATTTTTTAACTTTATTGATTGTTGAGAGAGAGGAAGGGGAAAAGGAGAAGGGAGAGGGGAAAGAGACAGATAGACAGATATATATATATATACACACATAGAGAGAGAGAGAGAGAGAGAGAGAGAGAGAGGAATATCAATTTGTTGTTCCACTTATTTAACGCATTCATTGGTTGATTCTTGTATGTGCCCTGACCAGGGATTGAACCTGTAACCTCAGAGTATTGGGGACGATGCTCTAATGGGGATGATGCTCTAACTAGTTGAGCTACCAGGCCAGGGCTCACCAAAATTTTTTGAGTCCTTCCTATGTGCCCAAGCACTGAGCTAAGCACTGCAGATACATGGTGCCTGCCCTCACTAAGCCTCCACTCCAGCAAGGATGCCTGGTCACATGTCATCTCTTCTCCAAATCTTCCAAAACCCAGTTATCTTGTCCCTCACCTGATTAGACACCTCCACTGGTTCCCCACAACTAACATAAAGGTAAAACATCCCTGACAATATTCCCAGCACAATTTTCCTTTACTTCTTCCTCTCCCCTCCAGACTCCACTTCTCACTCATGGAGACAGGAAGTACTAGTCCAACCTGTTGGGGAAAGGACAGAAAAAGTTTCATGGAGGAAATGAGGTGGAGAATACCTTAGCATGCTAGAAAAGAAGGAAAGGAGTCCCAACAGCTGAAGCCTGGAGGACTGAACTGTCAAAGAAAAAGAAAAAGGCCTAGAGCGGCGGTTCTCAACCTGTGGGTCGAGACCCCTTTGGGGGTCAAACAACCCTTTCACAGGGGTCGCCTAAGACCATCGGAAAACACATATATAATTACATATTGTTTTTGTGATTAATCACTATGCTTTAATTATGCTCAATTTGTAACAATGAAAATACATCCTGCATATCAGATATTTACATTACGATTCGTAAGAGTAGCAAAACTACAGTTATGAAATAGCAACGAAAATAATTTTATGGTTGGGGGTCACCACAACATGAGGAACTATATTAAAGGGTCGCGGCATTAGGAAGGTTGAGAACCACTGGCCTAGAGCAAAAACCCACAGGTGGGGAAAGTGGGGACATGTATAAAGAACCGATAATGTACATCAATTTCTTTTCTGGGGGTTTTTTTGTTGTTGTTTGTTTGTTTTTAATCCTCAAGGATATTTTCCCATTGATTTTTAGAGAGAGTGACGAGAGAAGGAAAGACAGAGAGAAATATTGAGGTGAGAGAAACATCAATTGGTTGCCTCCTGCAGGAGTCCCCGACCAGGGCCCAGACCAGGGCCCAGCGGGGAGGAGCCTGCAACCAAGGTACATGCCCTTGACCGGAATCAAACCCAGGACCTTTCAATCCGCAGGCCGATGCTCTCCTATCCACTGAGCCAAAGTGGCTAGGGCTCTTTTCTGGGTTCTTTTTTCCATTTAGGTTGCAGCATCTTAAACTCTCTATTCTGTCAAACATGTTTACTAAGTATCCCCTAGCTAGCGATAGGAGGCTTTCTTAAGCTCTAAAATAATTTCAGTCAACCTCATACTCATGTTTGTTTCTATATCATACTTATAAAGTACTTTTTTTAATTAAAAAAACACTTTCCAGCCCTAGCTGGTTTGGCTCAGTGGATAGAGCATAGGCCTGTAGACCAAAGGGTCCCAGGTTCGATTCTAGTCAAGGGCACATGCCCAGGGTTGCAGCTCGATCCCCAGTGGGGGGCTTGCAGGAGGCAGCCAATCAATGATTCTCTCTCATCATTGATGTTTCTATCTCTCTCTCCCTCTCTCTTCCTCTCTGAAATCAATAAAAATATATTTTTAAAAAAACACACTTTCCATTTCAGAAAATCCATGATATAACCAAAGTAAAGAACAAATGGAAAGTGACTTTCCTTTCCCAATTTCTGTGCTTAGTCCCAAAGGATCCCAAATGACAGGATGGGTATTAACCCGCATTCCATAAAAGGGGCTTTGAGAGTATCTTCTGAAATTATGTGCAAATGTAGATGGGGGGGGTGGGGGGTCATCAGATGCTTAAAGACATATGACTCCCCTCCCCCCACCAAAAAATTTTAAGACCCTAAACATTCAAATGAATCTCAGAGCAAGTTTGAAGATTAATAAAATGTGCAGAATGTGAAGATACATAAATTATACAATATAATAACAAAAAAAACCAATAGTAAATAACACGTTAATTTATCCACAAGCAAAAGTCTCTGTGACTACATCCTCATTATTAGGTGCAGAAAGATTTCTTCCAACATGTATGTAGACTCAATCTTTAGAAGCAAGACCAACACCCAACCTAGGTAGTGACTAAATAAAATTTACCAAAAAGTTTTCTTCTATTTTAACCTTATATTCTTCCTCCAAAAAATCATCTTCACTATATCTGGGTACAAATTAGGAGAGAAGAAAAGAGGGAACATATGATAACCAATGTTGAACTATGCTCATCAAATGATACGTATTTAGTTTTGCACATAAAAGTTCCCAAAACTTTTCCAGAAAAATTGAGACTAAAATATATTACTATAATTAAAAAACAAACAAAAAAACCTGTAGTCCAGCTTTCAACCTAAGCAAGTAACATTTTAAATAGGATCTTTTTTAAAAACCAGGAACCAGCATATAAAAGTGCATTTTCTATTACAATGGTGATTGACAGTTTATCCTAGGAATTTGACTTTTTAAAAATTCTATTTAAAAGATAAAATAGTTTGCCGAAACCGGTTTGGCTCAGTGGATAGAGCGTCGGCCTGCGGACTGAAAGGTCCCAGGTTCGATTCCGGTCAAGGGCATGTACCTTGGTTGTGGGGCACATCCCCAGTAGGGGGTGTGCAGGAGGCAGCTGATGGATGTTTCTCTCTCATCGATGTTTCTAACTCTCTATCTCTCTCCCTTCCTCTCTGTAAAAAATCAATAAAATATATTTTAAAAAAAAAAGATAAAATAGTTAATAAAATAGGTTAATGTCTCTTCTTCTTCGGGCTTATCAATTATATATCAAGTGTTCTTAAAATCATTATTTGGATTGTCCAATCATGTTAACTTTTCCCCACTTTTTTTTTTAATATATTTTATTGATTTTTTACAGAAAGGAAGGGAGAGGGATAGAGAGTTAGAAACATCGATGAGAGAGAAACATCGATCAGCTGCCTCCTGCATGCCCCCTACTGGGAATGTGCCCGCAACCAAGGTACATGCCCTTGACCAGAATCGAACCCAGGACCCTTCAGTCCGCAGGCCGACGCTCTATCCACTGAGCCAAACCGGTTAAGGCAACTTTTCCCCACTTTGCAAACTTGACCTCTGAATAGGCAAGGCCTTTCTGGAACACTCTGTGGCCTCTCTCTCACAGTTGCCTCTTTCTCATCCTCTAGGCCTCAACTTCAATGTCCTTAATATCCTTCTTTCTCTGTCCAAAGGAAGTGACCTCTATTATTCCTTACGCAAGGCTTATTTCCCTCTTAGAAATTAACAGTTTATCACTATTTTTTTTTCAATATATTTGTATTGATTTCGGAGAGGACGGGAGAGGGAGAGAGATGATGAGAGAATCATTGATTGGCTGCCTCCTGGATTGGGTCCACAACCCAGGCATGTGCCCTGACCAGGAATCGAACCATGACCTCCTGGTTCATAAGTCAATGCTCGACCTCTACGCCACACTGGCTGGGCTATCAGTATTTTCTTTATGCCTGTTAACATCTTTTCATGTATCTCCCTCATCTCCTTCATGAGAACACAGACTTTACGTAAGCAGGGACCGTGTCCATACTGTTCAATATTGTATCTGAGCCTAGCATAGCCCCTAGTACATAATAGGTGCTCAAGAAATATTTGTTTAATGAATTATTTAAAGTGAGATATCTTTACCCTTCACCCATTCCTCTTGGTGTGGATCCCATTACAACAAATTAAAAAAATAAAAATATCTTTTTCACACCCCTTCAGAAATAAAGGCCCTACATATATATTTAGTACTTAACTAACCAATCTCAGTTCCTGTTTACCAACACTCCATCCAATCAAACTGCCATTCTTGACATTAAAGATAATCCCATTCCTCAATTCTGTCATCCCCAGCTCCCAAAATACAATTATTATATTAATGAATCTTTGCTGAAAGCAGAGAGGCAGGGAGAAGGTGAGGACTGTGGGGGCCAGGTGGGGTACTTTTGAAATGCACGGTAATATAAAGGAGTGCAAAATGATCTATGTTCAAGCTCGATGTATAACCCAGTCATTTAACCACTGTGTGCCTCATGACCACAATTCATAACGCATCTACCTTAAAGGTTTAAGGTTACCATTGTGAGGTTCAACAGAGGTAACAAATGTGAATCCCCAGATTATATGCTTCCAGACAATCACGCTCTGATTTTTATAAATTTAGCAAAGCTGCAATTTCCTTCATGTGGGATTATTTGGCTGATGTCTGTCGCCACTTTTTTATTTTTGTTCATCCCTGAATTCCTAAAAGTGCCTATCTAAAAGTGCCTGGCAAGTAGCAGGTTCTCAGAGATATCTGTAAAACAAATAAATCGAAATACTTTGTAAACAGTAAAACTATGTACATTATTAATAGCAGACATTTGAGAAATCCATTAATTCAACAAATATTTATTAATGTCATAACCATGGGCCAGCCACTATTCTAAGACACTTGGGATGCACTAGTGAACAGAGAAAATCATTACACACACTGAGCTTACATTCTAGTTTGGGGAAACAGCAATGAAAATAGAACAATAATTACATATATTAAAAGGTGATAAAAGATATAGAAACAAGAGCAAAGTACAAGAGAATGGTAACTAAACTGTCACGTGTGAGAAGCAGTGAAATAGCCTTCATTGTCTACCATGCTTGGAGCCAAATGAGGGAGGTGCAGAGCAGCAAGAGTGGAGGTTCCCACTCACAGACTGCTCCAGTCCTGAAGCCATTGTCGTCATTTGGCGGTGGTCACAAACACTACAGAAGCTTTAAAAATGCAAAGGCCCGCCCTAACCAGTTTGGTTCAGTGGGTAGAGCGTCGGCCTGCGGACTCAAGGGTCCCAGGTTCAATTCTGGTCAAGGGCATGTTCCTTGTTTGCGGGCACATTCCCAGTAGCGGGTGTGCAAGAGGCAGCTGATCGATGTTTCTCTCTCATGGATGTTTCTAAATCTCTATCCCTCTCCCTTCCTCTCTGTAAAAAATCAATAAAATATATATATTTTTTTAAAATGCAAGGCCGCTGCTATAATTCCAGAAGCAAACCAAGATCTCAAGGATTGTAAGACAGGCGTGTCCCTGATCAGACCTGGCTTCCTGAGATTCAGAACTGGACCAGTCTCCAGATGATATTTTGGGGTAAAGTTATCAACTAGAAAGCCCCAAGCATTTTAACACAATGCCTTCTCATAAGCTACACAAATAACCCTCAAAGAGGTGTGGAGGAAACCAGAGCATCATTAGAAATCTATGGTTCCTGCAGTTGATGGCCATGTTTTCATGTGCCTCCTTTGTAAACGCTCATCTACTACAGTCACAATGCTTCTGATGTCCTTGGACACCTGTGATCAGAGAAAGTTTTATTTACTTGGACCTAAGCTACACAGCCACTTTATATTATACTAGTTAACCTAGGGCAGAATTTTACAAGTTCCCTTCAACATTATCTTTGCTAGCTTCCTCCTTCTAAAGCTGGAAGAGGAAAAAATTAACTCCCTAAAAATTATGACTCTAACTATAAAAAGGGACTGAATTACAGGAATGACCTTCTCTGAGAAACTTTAAGCAATTTGAAGAAATCTGCAGATGTTAAATATTCAATAACATTTAATATCAGAGGTAATTATAAAAAGGCAAAGAATATTCAGAATCCTGCATAATTCTCTAATCTGAAGTCTCTAATTCCAGAAAGTCTGAGACAAAGTAAAATCACCTCTTATGCTCTTTACCCAATTATCTTCAATAGAAACAATTATTTTTTAATATTAGAATCAAGAACACGCAAGTGTATACCTTGTTGAGTTCTTCTATCCTCCTGATTAGGTACGGGTTGCTGGAGGAATTCTCAAAGTAGACATAATCTGTAATTAAAGAAAGTAAAGAGCTTAATCTTTTCAAGAGAAAGTTCACATCTGTGAATCTGTGACTGCATATTAGGCGATTCACATTCAAAAATGAAGCATGTAATTCATTCCCTGGTAAAAGCAACTTTCGTGATGCAACCTTAATATATTCTCTCCTGTGCCTACTATTCACAGACCCTCATTTTCCTGGCATTTTCATTTCAATTCATGTTTTATGGAGTTCTCCTAGACTCCTGTTCCACACGTGTCATTTCTTTAATAACAAAGACACCTCTTGTCATCACTGAGTCGTCAGGGCTGACTCAACATGTGTCTTTCATACTGTAACTGCTTCCACATCTTTCCCCTCCAATCCACTGTGCCCTGGAGGAGGCTTCTCACATAAAACTATTGACCTAAGACAAACTCAGAGCATCTTGAACGGCTTGGCAGCTCAAAGTGCATTGCAATCATCAACTTGGAAGAAAAAAAAAAATCAGGTGAGCGGAGCAGGTAAGAGGAAACACACTGACAAACTTTCCCACAGTTCTATCTAGATAGGAAGATGCGGGGAAGATTCGGGGAAGGGGGCAGGAGGGGGGAATGTCTGAGACGGCATCACTCTTTTTTTAATATCTTTTACCCTATGTATTCCAGATCCACTTAGGATCTTGATATTTATTTTTTTAAAAATTGCTGCAGGTTCCCAACAAAAAGGATAAGGAAATTGTTCAAGCGTGGCTTTGGCCCTGGAAACTTCCCACTGCGCGTTTGCAGGATGCGAGGGGCCGGGTGCGCGGGGAAGGTGCATCTCAGCAGCTCTTTCCTGCAAAGTGGCCGCGCTCGCAGCCGTTCCCAGGCACGGCCACC